TAAATAAAATATATTAAAATAATCAAAATAAAATTGTTTATTTTACATAGATAAAAACTATATACAAATTTAAAAAACATAAAAATAAATAAATTTTTTTATAATGATCAAAATTAAAATTTTGTTTATTATATATAGACTAAAAATATATTTAAATATATTTTTATTTATATTTTGGTGCAAATATTTTCCTGTTTCTATGTTGAGAATTTATACAATGAATTATATTATAAGTATAACAAAAGTTAAAAGTTGACTCTAAGAAAAAATAAATTAAGTCTTGGGATAAAAACAATATTTTTTAATTTTAAATAAATTTTGAAAATATTTTTCTTTTCTGAAATTAAGTCAATATATATATATATATATTGGGGAATGCTAATATACTCTTACCTATTTTTTTAGTTGTTAGTAATTTATACCAAAATTTTATGACAAAAAAATTACTTATTTCTTTTGATTTGGTTAATTTGTATAAAGGATATTATAGTAATTTAATTTAATTTTAAATAAAAATTAAATATTTTATCTCTCTTATTAATTTATTTTACTAAGTCATTCCTCTCTCTTATTAAATTTTTTCTTTAACTCATTCATCTTTCCTATTAAATTATTTCTCTAACTTATTTATCTCTCTCCTATTAAATTCCTTCTTTAACTCATTTCTATTTCATCTCTCATGATGTCTCCTCCCTCTCTCTCTGAATAAATAAAAATTAATTAATAGAAAAAAGAAATGACTTAATGAATGAAATTAATAAGAGAGAGAAAATATTTAATTTTCTTTTAAAATAAAATTAAATTACTATAATATCATTTGTACGAATTAACCAAATCAAAAGAAATGACCGGTTTTTTTGTCCTAAAATTTTGTTGTAGATTGCTAACATACTCCCACTAAAAAATAGGTAGAAGTATATTAGCATTCCCCATATATATTAGTTTTTAAGATCTTTTATAAGTAAATTACAAATTTGACTTTAATAGGAGATGCTTGATAATATTTTAAGAAAAGAAATTCAATTTCATCCTCCAAAATTACAATGTCCAAAGTTTTTTCTTGTCATTATTTTGATCTTACATAAGAGACGAATATAATGACATTTTAAACCTTTGATAGACTAATTTAATATTAAGTTAAATATTAAATAAATAAATTTGGTGACAAAATCTGTAATAATTAATGCCGTGCAATCTAAATATTTAAAAATCTAATTTAGTTGAAACTAGGAATATGTGCATATTATTTGGGAATGTAAATAGCAAATAATTTATTTTTGAACTTATATTATCTAAATCAATCCAATTATATTTTTGTGATTTAAATTTGATTAAATAATTTTTACATTACTCAATTATAATTAAGTTGGATAACAAATCAAAAGATTCTTTATCCGATAAATCTAATTTAACAAATAGTAAATCATTAACTTAAATTATGAAACATTATACACATACATTTATGAGAAATGAGGAGGTTAGGGTGACAAATGTCTTTTAAGTTTTTGAGTAAGTATTTTACTTATTTTATATAACTAATTTAATATTTAGACGTATTTAATTATACTTTTTTTACTATATATTGTCAGAATGAGTTTATTTGTATATTAAAGAAGATATGAAATAAGAATAATAGTTTAATTTCACTTTTTATGTAATTTAAAATTTATTATATGTTAGTGTTTGTTTGAGGCATTTTGTAATTTTTTATTTGTGATTGTTGTAATTTTATTTGTATCATGTATTAAAATTTGAATTAAGTGTATCTATCTTTATACATACATATATATATTACTTGCTTCAAAATTTAAAATATAAATTTTATAATTCCTTAACCCAATTATTTTATTTGATTCAACTCCAAATGTAATCAAATTAGATTAAGTTGAATCAGCTAAAAAAAAGTTTGTAAACCTGATCCAACCTCCTAACCTAAATATGTTCAATTAGATTAGATACTATAATAGTCAAAAGTCAACCCATTACTCCTACTAGGGAAAATGTGGTGATACATGTAATTTTGAAAGACTAAATTAATTTTTTTCTTGTACTCTTTTTGATTTGTGCTTCATATATATTTAAAAGTATATATTAATATTTTAGTTTATACAATTCACACATTAAAAATGTTTAATATATATAATTAAAATTTTATAATAAATCATATATAAAAATAAATATTATGTTTGAATATATAAATTATATTTAAATTTTTTAAAAATAGATTTTTAAAATATATAAATTATATTTTACCTTTATGATAAATAATTTACATTATAAAACAAAATTATTTTTATTTATTCATAATTTATCTTAAAATACTAAATTTTAATTCATAAATAATTATGATAAATAAAAATTGAATTAGATAAAAAGTTAAAAGAATTCTTAAAAATTCTATTATTAAATAGAAGTTAATAGAAAACATCCTCACATCATATAACGATATTTATTTAATATATAGAAGTTGATTTTTATAATAATTGAAATGTTTAAATTATTTGTTTAATTAATTGTTGGATAAATAAATTCCATATTTTTTTCTTTAAAAAAAACTAAATTAACTCATATCATTGATAATGTATTTTACAATACAATAAATAATATGATTGTAGTTACAAAGACCAACTTGAAAATCGGTTGTCTTGACTAAATTATGGGCAATCAAATTTGTTTGTATTGAAGAAAAGCTAACCTCACAAATCACAACTTTTTAACCTATTTAGTAGAGTTTACAACTTCGAATAATTGTCCCAAATTTAGCATAATCACTCTTGGGTTTATTTATACAAGTTGGCATTCTATGGCAATCAGTTTCAACAACTACATCTTATAGATTAAACTCTTAAATCCACTAGAGGGCTCCTTGAAGGGCCAAGGCTTTGCATTCACGAGGTTCAAGGAGAAAAAAAAAGGCTACAGGTTCTTGCTTTGATGAATGAACCATCATGATCCCTGGTACACATCCCTATGTTGAACACTTGATTTGCAAGAGAAAAAAAAGTCGCATCCAAGTTGCACTTGAGTCTCCCTCAAGTTGGTGGTTTCCACAAGGAATGGTGTGGCTATTTTGGTAATTGGTTGATATCAAGATCTTGTTGACGAGCTTGCAGTCATGATGCAGGAGTGTCTTTTATGTACATGGTGACTTTACTATCCCATTCAATCCCTTCCCATTTTTCTTTTATTTCTACTAAACCAGATGTTCCAAAGGATCATGACAAAATCCAACACTTCCAATTTTCTTTTATTTCCCATTTTCATTGTCAATCAGGTCATTCACCCTTAATTCCCAAAGACCCTTAATAGCGTTCATTCATATGTAGCAGCTCCCCCTATTATTTCTCAACCAAGGATCATTCCATACAGATATACTATCACCACTTCCCACCTTCTAATGCTAACCCTCTCTTAACCAGGTGAAATGAACTCCAAATACTCCTGTAAGCATAGTTAGGATTGTGACCGAGCTTGGCATAGAGGAGATCAACATTTGGATGGTACCTGGCTTTAAAAAGTTAACTAATAAAAAAAATTAGGTTATGTAGCCAACCTCCATGCTTGTTTGCTCAATATTGCAAAATTAAAGGCTTGTATATTCCCAAATCTCAGTCCCCATATTCCTTTTTAATAGCTAGCTTCCCCCTCTGTAATCGGTTTATCCCTTTTCCATGACCTGAATTAAAGCCCCACTAATAAGAGTACATCATTCTCTCCAATTATAGTCCCAATGTTTGTGGAAGAAGATAGATACTTATGGTGTAAGTTGGAATGGCTTGGAGAATAGATTTTATCAAGATTTCTTTCCCTGCTCTAAAGAGAGATTTATTACTCCAATATTGATACAACACCACATGCGATCTCTAATGTGCCCAAAAAATTCCTTTTTGTTATGGTCAATCAAAGACAAGAGCCCTAGGTAGATCTTAGTTTGTTCATCCACCCCTTCAAGGGAGTCCAGCGCCCTCGCTGGCACACCGGCTCGGGTCCAGGCTCTGAGCAACCTGCATGTGGATATTGTCCGCTTTGGACGCAGCCTTCACGGTTTTGCTTCTGGCAATGGCACGCATGTCACCCCAAAACGCGTCCATACAAGGAAGGTATCCACACCCATATATATGGCATGCTTCGTTCTCCTTCCTAACCGATGTGGGACTTCACAAATAGCTTGTCCAGATGCATTTTCATAAATCCTCAAAATATTAATCACGTACAATGTCTCTTTTTTAGCTACTCTTAGGAGAATATAAACCAATCATCGACAGACATCAAATGGCCTACATATGGAGCATTCTTATAGGTTTGGATGCCATGTAACTTGCCCTTAGCTTCAAATTTTTTAAAAAGAGCTGAAAAACACCCCACACCTAAGACGAACAAGTAAAGGGATAATGGATCTCCTTGACAAAGGTCCCAACCTAGTAGAATGTGACCTACATGATTATTGTTGACTTGGATACTATATTGCACTATTTTCACGCATAACATCATCCACCAAATCCATTTTTGGCATAAGCAAAATTTGTGAAGCACTGCTCTAATGTAGCCTCGTGATAATCTATCATAAGCTTTACTGATGTTGAATTTTAAAGCTATGGCCCCCTGTCCTCAACAATGGAGATGGTGAAT